CTGCTTTCTGGAAACCTGTGTTTATATTATTAGCCGAGAGAAAGAAATTGTGTGTGTGTGTGTGTGTGTGTATGTGTGTGCACGCGCACCTGCACTTGAGTTTGTATATATGTCTCTTTTTCAAAAGTATTTCCCACTGGCCCTTGTCTTGTGTCTGAAGCATACAGTCTGGGTAAGGGAGAGTTTGCCCATCCATCTAAGAAGAAATTGAAGCCCCAAGTGCTTAAGATGTAACAGTTCTCAGGGTCCCGATCTCTCATCCTTGTCCTCCCATAAGCTCATGTGCCCTTATTCCCTTTCCCTCTCCATGCTTAAAACAAGCAATCCCTGCTTTGAAAAGTCTCCAAATTACCACAGGCTCCTTCTGCCCATTATCCCTGCGTTCCTAGGATCAAGCGCATGGCAGGCATGAAGGAATCACAAATCAGCGCGGAGATTGAGCTTCTTCCCACCAATGATAAGAAGAAATGGGCTCGACCCCCCATCTCCATGAACTTTGAGGTATAGCAGAATGGGAGGCCTAGTGCCCTGGCTGGGTGTGCTGGGAAAGTCAGTAATGGTTGAGATCAGTCTTTGTTCCTTAGGGATGAGGGAACTGGGTCTTGGTTGGGAAATGTCTTGAGTTGATATACCCATTCTCTTTAAGCCTCTTAATAGAAGTTGAAATTTAATCTGACAGAAGGCTTGACTTCTCTGGACTTGTCTCAAAACAGTTGTTGAGAAACATTTAGACTATTTGAAAGACAGTTAAGACAACAAGCTTATTTGTGTGAATCAGACATAGCATTTTCTCCACTTGATTTGTGCAGTCCATAGTGTTGACAAGAATAAGTGTGTTCAAAGGTAGTTCTCTGGTTACCTACTGACATTTAAAGGAATGGTTATCTTCGCAGCTGGGGCCTTCTTCAGACATGAGATGATCCCTAGTAACTCTTTACTTGGTAACCTCCTAGTGGGCTCCCCACCCCAGCATTCTTCTGTTACTCCTGGACCCCAGCCATTCACAAACACCTGTGGTAGATGAGGGGCGTGAGCCATGGAACTTGCCAGAGTAGAGCCGATGTGATAGGAAGGCCATGTTCCTAACTGGAGCTGTCCTCTGCCCAGGTGCCATTCGCGCCTTCTGGCCTCAAGGTGCGCTACTTGAAGGTATTCGAACCGAAGCTGAACTACAGTGACCATGATGTCATCAAATGGGTGCGATACATTGGCCGAAGTGGCATTTATGAAACCCGCTGCTAGCTGCCTAGTGGCAGGTGGCCCACCTCCCCACCACCCTTTCCACAGGTCCAAGTATCCCCAGTGACCACTCGTCAGTGTCTTTCCTCCCTCTTGCTTTGCTGCCTTTCCTTTATACCAGCCCCTGAGTATAGGTCTGAACCCGCCATAGTGGGACTGCTGACAGCCCTTGGCTTCCTGGGCAGGGTGGTTTCTGAGGCTTCTCTTCCATCTGTCTGTCCTGGCTTAGTGCCAGGCCCTGAGTTTTGTGACCAAAGCCAAGTGGCTCCCTCTCCTTTCTACCCTTGTGGCCACACCTCTGCAGTGGGAAGGTTGACTACCCCTCCCCTCAGAACTTCCCCAAAGGCCAGTAACAGATCCCCAGCCCTTAGTCCCTACTCTGCTTTGGGATAGTATGCTTTGTTTTGTATACGTGTGACTTGTCCAGTTCTAAACCCAATAAACTGTAGAGTGGAGTTGTTGGCTAAGTGGTTATGGGGCTGTTGGGGTGGGACAGTTAACTCTGTGTAGCCCTGGCTGTCCTAGAACTCTGTGTAGACCAGGCTGACCTCAAACTCACAGAGATCTGCCTGTCTCTGCCTCCTGAGTTCTGGGATTAAAGTGTGCACTGCCATGCCAGGATTTGTTTGGGTCTTGCCGCGTGTAACCCTGACTGACCTAGAATTTACTGTATAGACCAGACTGGCCTTGAATTTTTGTTGAGCCCTTGCCTCTGCCTCCCAAGTGCTGGTATTACAGACATGTGCTTCCACTCCAGGCTTTGTTTGCTTTGATGTGGATTTCATTGTGCAAGCCCAGCTGACTAAATTCAGAGCCTTCTGCCTCCACCTCCCAAGTGCAGTATTGCAGATGTGCAATTTTTCTAATTAGCACATATCAAGGAAGATTTGTGTTTGTTCCTGCAACTATCCTGAGAAGCTAATGTCTGAACTTCATCCATTTCTCTTTTAAGCTAGGTTCTAGTCTTGCTATATGAACCACCAGAAGAAAGATTTATTTTCCCTATGCATTTTGTCAAACTTCTCTGGTGAAAATCTTCATCCCTCTAGAGTTCCCAAGGGGACTGTCCTGTGTTAGGACCGAGAAAGAGTAGGTTTGCCCTCACCAGTTATAGCTTGCCAGATTTTTTTAAATGGGATATATATATATTAAATATATATACATATATATATATACTAAATTTCAAGCATAAGCAGAAAATAATATAATAATAATATAACAAACCATTTAATAAAATTTACTAAAAAAATAAAAATAAAAATAAAAAAAAAATAATATAACAAACCACAACTTGTCACCCAGCTTCAACAGTAATCAACTCATGGCCAACTCCAGTGTGTAACTTAATTGAAGGTATCCTATAAAATTTTCTACAATTGCGTTGGGATCAAGTTTCTGGTATCAGATCCCCTGCAGCTGGAGTTGTAGGCAGTTTGGAAGTTGTCAGATGTGGAAGCTAAGAACTAAACTTGGGTCCTCTATAAGAGCAGTGTGTGTGCCCTTAACTCCTGAGCCATTTCTCTAGCCCCTAATAATGTTTGGTTATTCATGTCCATGAGTATTTTGCCTGCACCACATGCATGCAGTACTCTCCAATGCCAGAAGAGGGCATTGGATCCTCTGAAAAAGGGTACTGTCCTGTGGGTTCTAGGAAACAAACCCTTTGAAAAAGCAAGTGCTCTTCACTTCTGAGTCACCTCTCCCAGCCTCTGAGTTTTATTGTGGTGTCTGTGTGTGTGCACACATGTGGAGGCCAGAGGTCAGGGTTGAGTGTGCTCAATTGCCTTCCACCTTAATTGTCAAGACAGTATCTCACCGACCCTGGAACTCTGATTTGGCTCAGCTGATAAGCTAGTAAGCTCCAGCGATGGTCTAGTCTTTGCCTGCCCAGGATGATTACTTTGTGTGAAAAACAGTGGCCCTCACTTCATAATAACGGTCCTAGAGACTAAAGCAAAGCACTTTATTTTTTGACCTTGCAGAATCTGTCATTAGTCTAGAGAAGAGGCAAACATGGCTGGCTGACTCTGATTTGGCATCGAACAAAAATCCTGCCCTCTTTTTTTCCTCCCCTAGGCTGATATTTCAGAGAGTTATAATCCTTTCCATTATTTTTGTTGCATTGTCCCCACCCCAACCCCCAACTTGTGCTGGAGATCCCTCCCCACTTCCCTGATACGTGGGCTCAGTTATGTAGCTCACCAACTTGTTAGTCCTAAGGTAAACCTGCCAGGTAGCAGGAAATAGCCTCTAGGGAAAGCAGGGACATCACGCCTCCATGTGACTCATCGATGAGCACTAAGTATACCTTATACTGGAACTAGACCATAATGACTTACTCCTTACATCTAGATGACTTTTACTTGGATCAAATTCAGGTCCTTATGTGTGCATAGATAGCACTTTAGTGAATCATTTCTCCGACCCCTAATCTGTATTTACGGTAAAATGGTTATTAGATTAGATTTAGAGGCTCAAGCTGGTTTTGTGGTTGTGGGTGACCTTTTTTCTTTTCTTCCTTCCTTTTTTTTTTTCCTTCTGAGACAATGTTTCTCTGTGTAGTTAGTCCTGGTTAAGGGTGTGCACCACCACTACCCAGCAATCTTGAATTCTTGATACTATCACTGCCTCCTGAATGTTAGGGTTACAAATGTAGGCCACCACGTCCAGTTTTATGAGGTACTGGGGACCAAACACAACTTCAGGCATGCTAGACAAGCACTTTACCAACTAAGCTATATCCTCAGGCATGCTGATGGGCTTTTTAAACACCAAGACTGGCTCCCCATTGCAGTAATGTTTAAGGTGGATGAGTGGGCAGTCCAGTGTGGTGGCATATGCTTTTAATTCCAGTACTTGGGTGACAGACAATGCGGGAGGTTCAGAAGTTACAGGTTAGCTTGGATTATCTGGAGAGATTGTCTCAGAAAAAGAATACGGGTGTAATTTGAGCATATTGGGAAGAATTTTTATAGTGTTATTTAGAAACAAAATCTACCTAAGCAAATCGATGGGTGATACTTTTACACATCCTGAGATACAGGGTGTAAGAAAACCTGCTTTGTCTGTAGACCCAGAATAAACAGTGTATAAAGGGCTTCTTGTTGATCGGGTTTTCTGGCGGTGGGCGGTGGTGCCTTGGAGTGGTGGAAGAACAGAATAGCCTAATTCTCAATGACCTGGTTGAACACCTATGGAGTGTGAGGGAACTGAGCACAGAGCAGGGGAGGGTGGAAGGCTGGGCATCACCAAGCTGGTCAACTAACTGGACAAAACCGACAGACTCCGCACTGAGCTGGCGTGAGTCAGCAGAACGCCGAGGCCTAAAGGCCTGGGTGGGCGTGCAGAGGCACGCGCCTGCGGGGAAGGCTCCAAGCTAGCAAAACAGTTTACTTCTACGTTTGCCTGTCTCTAGGCGAGGCTCCCCTCCCAGCACCCACTGTGCTCGCACTGATAAACGTCAGGCGACTCCGCCACACCCCTCGACTCCACCTCTGCTTTCCAGAAGGCAGTGAAAACCGCACAGGTGACGAATACATTCGTGAAGCAGAAATTGCGCAGGCGCAGAGGCCGCTGTGCCTGGGGACATTTCGGCGCTTGCGTGCAGTCCCGCTAGCCACGCCCCCTGGGCTCCACGCAGGCTTCTGCTTTCTTACGTCATTACTGCGCTTGCGCCTTGGAAGGAAAAGGGGGTGCGGTTTCGGGGAGGGGGGGAGGGCAAGGAGGCGGTCCTAGGCCTAGATCTCATCACGACTGCGCAGACGGGATCCCGAATGAATATGGCGACTTGTGCCGACATCCTGCGGAGCGAGTTCCCAGAAATTGACGGGCAGGTCTTCGACTACGTGACCGGTGAGCGAAACGGAATTAACTGCCGGGGGAGGCTGAAGTGGAGGTCATGAGGGAAGACTGAGGGTGGACAGTGCAGCAGACTGCTGTCTAGTCTCTCCTCTGCGTGACCTCTTGAGGGCCGGTGGGGTCTGGAGCCCTGAGTTGGCTGATCAAACACTGAGACTGCTCGCATATAAAGACACCCGGTGTCTTTCTTGTTATGCGGTACCCGGCCCAGGCGTCTTGCACAGCGGCAGCGCGGACTTCGAGTCTGTGGACGACCTGGTGGAAGCTGTCGGCGAACTATTGCAAGAAGTGTCCGGGGACAGCAAGGATGACGCGGGCATCAGGGCTGTCTGTCAGCGCATGTACAACACTCTACGCCTGTAGGTGCCAAGGGAAAGGAGTTGATGGGCAGAGGGAGGCGAATGGAGTACAAACGTGGGGGAAGGTCTGAAGGCTGTAAATCTTTTCTCCGAACTGACTGCTTTTTATCCCTACCCACGCAGGGCTGAGCCACAGAACCAGGGAAACAGCCAGGTGCTACTGGACGCCCCCATCCAGTTGTCAAAGATAATGGAAAACTACGGTGAGACTGAGGGGAGATTGAACTAGCTGCCTTATGCCTCCACCCCCACCCACCTGCTCCTTGCATCTCAGGACTCCCTCTATTTCTTCTACTACAAGGCTTGGAGGAGCTTATGGTATTTTGTGAACATAAGAGCATGTGATGAGCCGGACAGTGGTGCTCCCAGCATTACGGAGGCAGAAGCAGGCATGAGTTGGAGACCAATCTGGTCTACAGAGCAAGTTCCAAGACAGCCAGGGCAACACAGAAACCCTGCCTCGAAAAATAAAAACAAAAACAAACATACAAAGAAAGAAAGAAAGAAACTTGTGATGAAGGGTTGGAAGGTTCTCCAAGCTATTGCCTATAGTAGGAGGCATAGAGCCTTGAACTAAACGTACTTGGTTTTGCCAATTTTGTACTTAACCAACAACATAGTCTTGTAAGAGTACATCAGCCTCTGTCTTTAAATATGAGATCTTTTTCTTCTTTATCTCAAGGCGAATAGTCATCTATTCCAGTGTCATAATACTGTCTTTTTTGTTTGTTTGTTTTGTTGTTTTTGCTTTTTGGTTTTTCGAGACATGGCTTCTCTTCTCTGTAGCTTTGGAGCCTGCCTAGAACTAGCTCTTGTAGACCAGGCTGGCCTTGAATTTACAGAGATCCGCCTGCCTCTGTCTCCCCAGTGCTGAGATTAAAGGCATGCACCACCATCTCCCAACTAGAAACAGGAAAAGGCAGTTTGGGGGGTTTTTTTGGGTGGTTTTTTGTTTGTTTGTTTGTTTTTGAGACAAGGTTTCACTGTACCTTTGGAGTCTGTCCTGGTACTCGCTTTGTAGACCAGGCTGGTCTCGAACTCACAGAGATCTGTCTGTCTGCCTCCCGGGTGCTGGATTAAAGGTGTGCACCACTACTGCCTGGTATAATCTTTCTTAAAAACTGTTCTTGGTTCTTGTTAGTCAAAGTCTTCATTTCCCTTCGCTGGAGAAGGTGACTGCTTTTCTTATCACTTACAGACTGTGACACCAAACTTCCAGGACTGCTAAAGAGGGAACAGTCCTCGGTGAGGAGCAAGAAGGGGAAGGGGCTGTGTCTGTGGTGGGTGTGAGAGTTGACTGTCTAAATAGTGGATTTATCTTGAGGGGGGGATTTCTGATGTGTCTTCCTGTGAGTCTTTGGTTCTGTATCATCATGGGTAAGCTGTAAGGGTTTGTTTGAAGTGGTCCCTGGAGTTCCCTTTCAAACCAGTACCCTAGTATGAGCTGGCTGTGTTTGGAATTCACTCAGACAGTGAATGCGAAGAAACTCGAGAAGGCTGAAGCCCGACTGAAGGCAAAGCAGGAGAAGCGCTCAGAGAAGGAAACTCTGAAGACCAGCAGCCCTCTGTGAGTTTAGGAAGAAGGACTCAGAAGGGAGCAGGACAGGTTCTGGTATTGAAGAACTGTCAGGAGCCCTAAAACCTGTCCATTTCTCCTTTTATAAGAGTCTTGGAGGAGGCATCCGCTAGCCAGGCAGGCAGCAGAAAAGAGAGTCGGATGGAATCATCTGGCAAGAACAAATCCTATGATGTGCGAATTGAGAACTTCGATGTGTCCTTTGGGGATAGGTGAGGGAATGACCAGGGGCATGATCTTTACCATTAGAGGAGTATCTGGAACTATGGAGTGGGCCTAAAACAGTGTTAACGTTCCTTTGCACCTGCTCCTAGATCACTCTTCACCTCTTTTCTGCCACCCCTTCAGGGTGCTGCTGACTGGAGCAGATGTGAACTTGGCATGGGGCCGACGCTATGGGCTGGTGGGACGCAATGGTCTGGGGAAGACGACGTTGCTAAAGATGCTGGCCACTCGGAGCCTGAGGGTTCCAGCCCACATTTCCCTGCTGCATGTGGAACAGGAAGTTGCTGGAGATGACACCCCTGCCTTGCAGAGTGTTCTGGAAAGCGACACCGTACGGGAAGACCTGCTACGGCAGGAGCGGGAGCTCAGTGTCAAGATTGCTGCTGGCAGGTGAAGGCTTCAGGCTAGAGGGTACAAGCAATAGCTGTCTGTCCTGGTTGATTGGTGTTACCTTGACCCAAGCTAGAGTTACTAGGGAACAGGCACTTGAAGTGGAAAATGCCTTCATCAGATTGGCCTGTGGTCAAGCCTGTGGTGCATTTTCTTAACTAATGATTGTGGGAGGACCCAGCTCAATTGTGGGTGGTGCCACCCCTGGGCTGGTGGTCCTGAGTTGAATAAGAAAGCAGACTGAGCAAGCCAGGAGAAACAAGCCCGTAAAGCTGTGTTCCGCCATGGCTCTGCTTCACCTCCTACCTTGAATTCCTTCCCTGACTTTCCTCGGTGATGGAGTATGACCTGAGAGTTAAAAGATAAAATTGCCCCTCCAAGTTGCTTTTACCACAGCAATAGAAACCTGGCTACTAAGACACTATCTTTTACAGAGTATCTCCATAATTCATGTGGCCTCATAATTCATGAGCAGCAGAGCTTGGAATTTGGCTTATGGAACTGTAAAGCCCTCTCTTCCCAGTGGCCTGCCTTCCAACTTAGAGGGTGCAAGACTACCTCTTAGACTGTCTTTATACAAGCTGGTTGGGTCTTTTTCCTTCCCAGGGCAGAGGGCTCAGAAGCTGCACAGTTGGCAGAAATCTATGCCAAACTGGAGGAGATTGAGGCCGATAAGGCACCTGCCAGGTATTTAAAATTCCCACTTGCTGTCCTGTTTAGTTGCTCAGTGAGATTTGAACTGTTTCGATTGGAGTCTTCTCATTTTCATTCCCAGAGCATCGGTCATTCTCGCAGGACTTGGTTTCACTCCTAAAATGCAACAACAGCCTACCAGGTGAGTAAATTTGGCCATTCTTGGCTTTGAACGCTGCTGGCCCTGGCCCTGCTTGCCCTGATGTGAGTCTGTTGTCTTTAGGGAGTTCTCCGGCGGCTGGAGGATGAGATTGGCCTTAGCCCGGGCTCTGTTTGCCAGGTGAGTCTCCTGAGCCTGAGGATGTGTGACTGAACACGATGAGCTGATAAGTCTCTTGCCATAAAAGCTCATGCTGTGTATTCTTTTCATAGGCCAGATCTCCTGCTGCTAGATGGTGAGTCTGAATGAGCTGCTCTGACTTCCGAGCTAGACAAGGATGATAGCATTCTTGTTTCTACTTCTCCAGCCCTTCATTCCCAAGTATGTGTTTCTTCCTTCTCCAGAACCCACAAACATGCTGGATGTAAGGGCCATCCTGTGGTTGGAGAATTACCTGCAGGTGAGTCTAACTACGGCTTTACGGTAGGTCTGGAGAAAGTTTGCCTCCAAGACACTGGGGGCCGGCTACCCTTCCAAACAGCCTCCCATCCTGTTATTCCTCAGACGTGGCCCTCCACAATCCTAGTTGTCTCTCATGACCGCAACTTCCTGAATGCCATTGCCACAGACATCATCCACCTGCATAGCCAACGACTCGATGGTTACCGAGGGGACTTTGAAACCTTTATCAAGAGCAAGCAGGAACGGCTACTCAATCAGCAGCGCGAGTATGAGGCCCAGCAGCAGTACCGCCAGCACATCCAGGTGTGCAGGGGTGGGGGAGGCGGGACTGAGTCCCATGCTATCGGCATCAGTTGGTGGCAGTGAGGGAGCCTGATGAGTGCCCATTTCTTGTAGGTCTTCATAGACCGCTTTCGGTACAATGCCAACAGAGCGTCTCAAGTGCAGAGTAAACTCAAGATGCTGGAGAAGCTGTGAGTACAGAGCCCTTGTCCAGACACCGACTCCTTCATTTCCTCCCCTCAGTTTGTAAGCTGACCTTGCCCTTCCATTCCAGGCCTCCCCCACCCCCACCAGCAGCCACCCTCCACTTCAGCCACTAATCTCACCTAGGCAGCCACAAATTCAGACGTATTTTCTACCTCTGTCTATCTGCTTTGTCTAGCCTTTCTTTCTCCCCGTACTGAGGTTTGAAACTAGTGCAGACTAAGCCTCACCTGTGTCTAGCTTCTCTAATAGCATGTTTTCTAGAATCATCCATGTCATAATGTTAACACCTCACCTCCTTTCATGGTGGCATGCTGCTCCATTTCATGACTCAAATACATTTCGTTTATTGTCAGGTGATGAACATTAGGTTATTCCTATTTTGTTTTTAGGAATAATGAATGCAACTATAAACTTTCTAGGGGATGTGGGAGTTGAGACCAAGTCTCAGTCTGTAAGGCTGACTTCCAGTTTACAAAAGTTCTCCTGCCTCAGTCTTCTGGGTGCTAAGATTACAGATGCAAGCCACCACAGCTGGCCTGCTATGAACATGATTATATTCGAGTTTTTTTATTTTTTTCTTTTAAAGATTTTTTTTTTATGTGTGTGAGTGTTTTGTCTACATGTGTGTAAAGTCAGAGTGTGTGTGCGTGTGAGTGTACGCCTGGTCAAGCGCCAGAAGTTGGAGGTGAGTCCCCTGGAATTGGAATAAACAGATGACTTTAAGCAACTATGTGTATACTAGAAACGAAACCTGGGTCTTCTGCAAGAACAGTAGGTGCCCTTAACCACTGAGCCATCCCTCCAACCCCCTATGTTCAAGTTGCTAAGCAAACATTTGTTTTTGCTTAGGTACATGTCTAAGAGTAGATTTGCTGCTTTGCATGGTAATTTAACTTTTGAGGGGTTTTGCTGCTGCTGCTGTTGTTAAAACAGTTTCACTGTGTAGCCCTGGCTGGCCTAGAACCTGCTTTGTAGACCAAGCTGGCCCCAAATTCACAGGGATCCCTTCTGTCTTTACCTCCCGGGTGCTAGAATTAAGACATTTGCCACAAGATTTTACCTCTGCTGTTTAACTTTTTAAGGATCTGCTAAACTAGATTTATTTGTTTTGAGACAGTTTTGTAGTTCAAACTGGTCTTAAATTCTTACTTGTTTGTTTTTGAGACAGGGTTTCTCTGTAGCTCTGACTATCCTGGAACTCACAGAGTTCTGCCTGCCAAGTGGCCTTAAAGTCTTCTGTAGCCAAGGATGACCTTGAACTCCTCATCCTCCTACCTCCATCTCCCAAGTGCTGAGATTATGGACATATGTCACCATATACAGTTTGTGCTTGCTGGAAATTGGAACTAAGACCTGTGCACACTAGGCAAGCATTTTAGCAACTGTTCCAGACCAATTTTTTTTAATTCAGTAAATGTATACATTTATTTTACATTCGACACACTACAAGTCTCACTAAAAAACGAATACAAGTCATATCAGACTTCTTTTTTTTTTTGCATCTTTTTAATGAATTTCTTTTCTTTTGTGGAGATCATAATCAAATCATTTCTCCCTTCCCATTCCTCCCTCCAAACCCTCTCTTATATCCTTGCTCTTTTTCCAATTCATAGCCTCTTCTTTTTTTCCCATGAATCGCTGTTGCATGTGCACATGTACATGAATATATTCCTAAGTGTGACTTGTTCAATCTGTGTGATGTTACTTGTGTTTTCAGGGCTGACCATTTGGTACTGGATACCAGTTGGTGTGCTCTTCCCTGAGGAAGATTGTTCCTCCTGCTGTCAGCATTCGTTGGTCGCCTATAATTCTTTGTGTAGGGTTTAGGCTCATACCCTCCCCACACCCACACACACTTTGGCATGTCTGTTGACGTCATTCTTGTTCAACTCATATTCAGGTAGTCATATTGTTGAGACTTTATGGGTGTGCTTCTGGCATTGCTAGGAAACAGTCTCAGAGCAAACTCCCTGCTCCTCTGGCTCTTAGTCTTTCCCCTCTTCCAAAGGTTCTCTTGAGTGTTTTGTGGGTGTACTGGGACTGGGTACTACAACACTGCATTTTGATTGGTTGTAGTTTTCTGTAATGGTCTCTCTCCGTTGCAAAGAGAAGTTTCCTTGGTGAGGAGGTGAGGCTAGACCGTGGGAAAGTACTTAGGTCTGGTTGGGTAGAATAGTTGGATGCAATGCAGAAAGGATCTGTGGGCGGTTGCAGGTCCAGACCACTCGTTTTGTTTTTGGTTTGAGACAGTCTCTCACTTTGTAGCCCAGGCTAGCCTCAAACTTCAGGTCCATCTGCTTCCCACAAGCTGGAATCACTTCCACTTTTGGCTTGTCAGATTATGTACTAAAACAGAGGTATTGGTTTATATGCCTCCTCCAGGGGATGGGAGCTGTCATTGTCCTATATCTTTGCCAGCGCTTGTTCTTAACTCTTGCAGTCTTGGCCGCCCCAATAGTTTGAAAGCAACATCTCACTGTGGTTTTGATAAGCAGTTTCATGACTAGTAAAATTAGTCATTGAGGGTTTAATCTTGAAGGAGTCGTTCTAGAAATTCTGGGAGAGAGTAAATTCATAAGGCTTACAACCCTGACATGGGAACATTTATCATTGTATCTTAAGGGTAAAAACTACCAAGACAGACTGGGGGCTGAAGGCATAGAGCTGTAATCTCAGAACTGGGGAAGGCCAAAGCCAAGGACTTGTAAATTCAAAGCCAGCTCAGGCAAGCTGGTGAGACCTTTCCTCACATGTACAACATAAAGGAAGAACACAGATTTCTTTATGTACAACATAAAGGAAGAACAACATAAAAGGAAGAATAGTTTTTTAAAAGCTGTTGAAAGATGGGGTTTGGGGTGTTTTTGTTTTTTAATTGGGGAACCATTCACCCAGGAGAAGGTACCCGTGGCAAACATGATGGTTCGAGTTTTATCCCCAGGACTCACAGTAGAAGACGGAATAGATTCTAGACTTTTTCTGGTGTTTGTTTTTTGTTTTGAGACAAGGTCTCACCATATAGCCCTGGCTGGCCCCAAACTCACAGAGATCCGTCTGCTCTGCCTCCCAAGTGCTGCAATTAAAAGTGTGTGTCACCATGGGCAAATAAATGTCATCAGTATTTTTTTAGAGCAGGAGAGATGTCTCAGCAATAAGAGACATACATGTTGCTCTTGCAGAGGACATGGGTTTGGTTCTCAGCACCCACATGACAGCTCACAACTGTGTGTAATTCCAGTTCCAAAGGAATTGACACCCTCTTCTGACCTCATGGGCACTGCATACATTTGGCATACAAACTTACATGCATGTAAAACACCCATACATATAAGAAAATAAATATTTTCATTTTTATATGTATATATTTTTAATGTATATTTTTTAACTTTTAATTTTTATTTTACTTTTTGTTTGAAGCTACATACACTCTTTATGTAGTCTTAGCTAGCCTGGAACTTACGATGTTGTGGGGCTTGAACTCAGAGAGGTCTGCCTGCTTCTGCCTTCCAAGTACTAAGATCAAAAGCATGTACCACTACACCTAGCTTATATATGTATTTTAATTTTTTTAATGTGCATTGGTATTTTGCCTGCATGGATGTCTGTGTGAGGGTGTCAGACCCTTGGAACTGGAGTTACAGACAGTTGTGAGCTGGGTCCTGGGAACTGAACCCAGGTCCTCTGAAAGAACAGCCACTGTTTGTTTATTTTTTAAGCTACAAAAAAAGATGATTCTCTTTCTTAGAGATTGTGAGCTAGAAGAATGCATTGTAGCATTAGCTAAATGAAGGGCACGCAAGTCTGTTTTCTCCAAGCATTTTCTTGTGTAAGAGGAACTGAGTTCTGTTTTGAAGTTTAGTTAATTCTTGTCATTTAGTTGAGTCAGGGTCTCTCTTCATGGCACAGAATGTTTATGTAAGTTGGCTTTAGGCCCCTAAATAGTAATAATTTGAGTATGTTACCACATTCAACACTAAGTTGATTATTTTGCTGCTTTTATTAGTGTGTGTTAATGATATAGAATTGGTTTTGTTAGCCGACATGTTCCCTGGGCCCTTGAGAGAATGTTATGTCCCGTGTATGGCTCAGCACTCACCAGTTGCTTGTCCTCAGCACTTGACCAGATGGGAGCCTCTGGAGCTACAGACTGTAGCTGACTAACCTATGGGGATAGACATCGTTTAGAAGGCAGTCTGATGGGCACATCATGATGTAACAAATAGCTGTAGCTGTCACACTAGAGCTTGTGACCTGCCTGGCCACCGGTTTCGATCTGGTGTACAGCACAGATACAAGGTCCTCGTATGGAGCAGGCCTCAATTCCTATCGAAGAGCAGTTGGTTAGCCCATAATAGACTTGCCAGCGGGCACTCCATACTTGGCCAGTCAGTAGTGTAGCACATGGTTCCATGACTGTTGATGGCAGTCCTCCCTCAGCAGCTGCTTACCACCTCCCACTGCCGAGGGCCAGGCTACAGGGCAGAAGCCTCGTCTCAGTTGTCTTGCTTTCTCTGTGCTATAACCGGCCTAAGTCTTGTCGTGTGTTTCTGCATAGCAGAGTTCTTTACTCCTAAGTCGTCATGGTCTTTATACCAATGCCTATGGTTAGGATAATTGTGCATGAGTGTGCGTGCGTGCGTGCGTGTGTGTGTTAGGATGATTGCACGTCTGCGTGAGTGTGTGTGTGCGTGTGTTAGGATGATTGTACGTCTGCATGAGCGTGTGTCAGGTTTCCTTGTGGTTTTTCCATATATCCCACCCCCAGTGTTTTCCTTTCCACTTTCACATCTTGTTAAATAATCATTTTTCCATCTCTCCTCAGACCTGAGCTAAAGCCGGTGGACAAGGAGTCAGAGGTGGTGATGAAGTGAGTTCTAAGCCGGGGAGCTGATGGGGAGTCTCTCCTCCTGGCTTCCTCCATACTTCACACTTGCACTTCCGCAGGTTCCCTGATGGCTTCGAGAAGTTCTCCCCACCAATTCTGCAGCTAGATGAGGTGGATTTCTACTATGACCCTAAACACGTCATCTTCAGCCGCCTGTCTGTCTCTGCTGACCTTGAGTCTCGCATCTGCGTGGTATGGTTGCTCCTCCTTCCCGGGAGTTGTTTACCTTAGCTAGCGTGGATTGGACAACCCTGAGACATTAGAAGGAAGAGTACAGAGAGAAATGTGTGGGGCCTGGACATTATACTTCACTGCTGCTGTCCTCTGTAGTCTCACAGGCCACCTCAGAGATGAGAAACCTGGCTCGTGGCATTCTGTAAATATATAGAACAGTAGTTTACTGCTCTTGGTCTGCTTATGTCAGCCCTGAGACATTAAAGCAAGACCATAGGTCGTAAGTCAGGATTTAGAGTAGAGTATGCTGTTCTGTAGCTTGGTTTTAGGAAATCTTCTTTCCTCGGAAGGGAGAGAAAAATAGCTGGGAAAATAGCTCAGCAAGTAGAAAGTGCTTTCTGCCAAATGTGAGGGCTAGAATTAAGTCCCCAGAACTCACGCTACGGTTGAGTGCTCATGCCAGCGCTCAGTCCCTGTGTGCAAGGGTCAGAGACTGGAAGTCACCAGAGCAAGGGGCTAGCCAGCTAGTGCAACTGTGAGCTGCAGAAAAATTTGAGGAAGACATCTGATGTTGCCTTGGGCCTCCACATGCACATATTTGTACCCAGATGTACCCATGTATGGGGACACGCCACTTCTGGTTACCGGGAGAAGTAACCCTTGCCCCTTGCAAGTACTCAAGTATCGGTTCCCTTTGCGGCTTTGCATGTGGTGGTAGTTCCTCAGAGGTTTTGGTCGCAAGGCTGGGACTACCCAGAGCCCTTCTTCCTTCCTTTCCTTCTGTGCCCCACACATGCACACTCATTAAACATTTTCATGCTTCTTACAGGTTGGAGAAAATGGGGCTGGGAAGTCTACTATGCTAAAGCTGCTCATGGGGGACCTGACTCCTGTTCGAGGTATCAGGCATGCCCACAGGTAAGGAACACACGAACACACACACACACACACACACTCCCCACCCCACCCTGCTATGAACTATACACATTCTCATACACATTCAGCCACCTGTACTACCCCACAGCGGTGCCTTCTGTTTTCTTTTTGCCTCCAGGAATCTGAAGATAGGCTATTTCAGCCAGCACCATGTGGAACAGCTAGACCTGAATGTCAGCGCTGTGGAACTCCTGGCTCGAAAGTTCCCTGGTATGTTAGGGGTAGGGTTTGCAGCAACAGCGTTTCAGCTGGTCCTTGCACCTCGGCCCGTCTTCGGTCAGTGTAAGCAGCTTGCCTAAGTCTGGGTATAAGAGCGTGGGCATTGAGAAGGAGAGCATGGGGAGTAGCAAAGGCTTTGGGCCAAGAGCCCGTCTGATGTGGGGGTCTTTTCCAGGGCGGCCTGAAGAGGAATATCGACACCAGTTGGGTCGGTATGGCATCTCTGGGGAACTGGCCATGCGCCCTGTTGCAAGTTTATCTGGGGGCCAGAAGAGCCGGGTAGCCTTTGCTCAGATGACCATGCCTTGGTGAGATTTATTTTCCTGGGTTCTTCTTGCCCAGTACAAAATGATTCTTTGATGTTTGTGCCATAGGAATTCATTGTCTCCCATCTTATACTTCTGTGTTCTCCCTTCCAGCCCCAACTTCTACATTCTGGATGAGCCCACAAACCACCTGGACATGGAGACAATTGAGGCTTTGGGCCACGCTCTCAACAACTTCAGGGTGAGCCTGCTCTAGCCTGACTGTTCTTCCCTAGGCCTCAGCACCCCTTGATAGCCATTCCCCTGAGTGCTCCTGTTCTGTCTTTCAGGGTGGCGTGATTCTGGTATCCCATGACGAGCGCTTCATCCGGCTGGTGTGCCAGGAGCTGTGGGTGTGTGAGAAAGGCAGTGTGACCCGGGTTGAGGGAGGATTTGACCAGTACCGTACCCTCCTCCAAGAACAGTTCCGCCGGGAGGGCTTCCTCTAGAGCCCCGACTGAATGAGGACCGCCTAGGACATGGACTGGTCGCGAGACCCCTGAGCTACCGCATAGGCAGCCAGCTCCAGACCTGGGACTTTCCCTGTTTGGGGACAGCCTTATTTCCCAGATTTCTTTTCCTTTCAACTGGAGCATCCTCTGCACAGTGTGGGGAGGCCTATCGAAGGGCTTGTGGGGACAGCTCTGATGGAAAGGGTAGGGGTGCCATCTGGGGTTATAAGTACCGTAATGCCCAGCTTGACAGGACCCCACATGGCTGCTATGTAAATTAAATATCCTCCTGTATCTCTCTTGCCTCATCTCTGCTCCTTCATGGGCAGGACTTATCATGGTTTTCTGCTGTAGGTTCTGGGCTCTCTGATCGGTATTTTCCTAGGATATAAATGTCATTCACACAGAGCAATGGCAGTGCCAGCCTTCCTCTTCTTGGGAGATGGCATCTGTCTGGGCTTGGGTGGGCTTTGGCTGGAGGAATGGAAAGCAGGGTTCTGGGGTTACTGGTGCTTATACCCTAGCCTAGATGTGGCCTCAGCTGAAAGCATCTTGGGCTCGACTGTCTCAACCCCTGCTGCTTGGGAGTTTGAACTGATTCTGGAATCTGGCCTCATACGTGGCTCTCTCCAGGGACTCTGACCCAGCCCCCAGGTTCTCTGATCTGGACCTTCAGGCTCAGGAGAAACTGTTGTTGTTCCCAGTTTGTCTTAGCGACCTGACATTCTGGGTTTTCTCTAATCATGCAGAAGTGGCCTGGGAGGTAGGGAACTGTCTAACTGAAAGAAGTAGGACACTTCAACACTTTGTTCTTTTCAAATAAAGCAGACTTCTAAGAGGGAAAGACATGCAGTCACATGGGCTTATAGTCCCAGGCACCCCAGCGGCTGAAGCCAAAGGCTCATTTGGATCCATTTAAGAGACCAGCCTGACCCGGGAGACCCATCCCTTTATGAAAGAGGGAGGAGAGGTGTTAACAAGAGTCTGGCTTGTAAGTTCTCAAGGACGTAGCTGCTGCAGTTAATCAGTATGTAGAAGACATTAAATTGGAGTCAACAGAGCCTTAGCCTACTGGAAATTGTAGTCATGAGTTTCAACCCAAGAGTCTTCAAGTTGTGCTGAATGTTGTGGTCTAGGTAATTTGGGAAGAGAGCCTGTGGGGCAAGGGAGAATGTGAGATAGCCTTGGATTGTGAGAAATTCCTCACAAGAAACGCTAAAGCAAGGAAAGGTTTATTTTGCCCCGTGATTTTAGAGGCTTTGACCCATGGGCGCTTGACTGTGTTACTCATGTGCCTGCATGGGATGGAACAGAATACAGTGTGGGGTGTGTGCTGAGACAGTAGCTCAGGTGTCACTCTCGCACTTCCTGGAGTGGGTTCCCAAGGCCCCAGTCCCTTCAGCTAGATCCTCCCTGTGCATGATCCTGGAAGCCACAGCTCTGCATGTTACACATTGGGGCAGACCTTCAACACACGAGCCCTCGCATGACTCCCCAGATCCAGAAGGCTCTAGTGAACACAGAGCTGGTGCTGGTGGACTAGTGAGACCTGTCCACCCCTCCCCTTCCTTCCCTCAGACATCCCTGTGCATGGCTGCATGTCCCTCAGCAGTGATGGGAAGTTTTTCCGACAGATAGTTCTCTTCCATCTCGAAGCCCACAGAGAAGTGTATTGGGGAACCGCGGGCCCTATACCTGTCAGTCTTCCGTGCTCAGCCCCTGAGTCCTCTGACTTCGTAAGCTCCTTAGGAGTCATGCAGATGCTTATGGTCCCTGGAAGAGCTTGGAGCGCCGAGAACATTGGAATTCAGGGTGGTGTGAGGACAGGCTCATCAATTCTGCTGTCAGAGTGGAAGGGGTCAGACGAGTAAAGCAGACCACCTGAGCCTGGGTTCTTTGTGGCACTGTTAAGGGTCTGGCCACCACACAGTATAAAAGCATGCAGGATGGGTTTGCTGGGTGCCCACAATGACTAGAAGGATTTTTAAAAGAAGACATTTCTGTAGCTAATCATGGACCTTAAAAAGAGTGCAGGCACCCGGGCTGTCTTCAGTGTGCTGGAGCCTATGGGAAGGGGGCGGCACTAGGTGGTGACTAGAATTCCATGAATGTGAAGAGCCCACCCACGCTGCAAGAATTCTGGAGATGAGATGAAAGTTAGTGATCCAGAGGCATGGAAAGATTGGTGGCAGCCAGCCCTGTTTCAGAAAACACATGTGGAAAGCAGCCCTGCACTGGAGGGCATTCCGGTGCAGCAACCACCGGCTGCATTGACTAATACCAGCTAGGGGGCGGGGCAGTCCTTGTAGCTGCTTACCCTGGAGCTGTTCTGCCTACATCTGGCCTTTGTGCTGACCAGGAGCTGGTCAGTGAAGGATCGTAAGCTCACTAGAATCATGGACTGCTTGCCTCTCGGCCTGACCATACTCACCAGCATCACTTGGGTAACTTGGCTGGTCCTCAGCACAGTTCTCACAAGGCAAGGCACTTAGGCCAGTCCATGAGCTGCTCACTCCCATGTGCTGTTACAGTCTTGAGGTCTAGTAGACATTTTGCTGAGTTCTGCCTGGCTTCCAGGCCAAGTTTAGCTCAAAGCCTATCTCTCCACTGGGCTTGAGCATGTAGAGTGGATGCCAAAGCCTGTAGGAGATGCTGGCAGAGTGGGCCAAGGCTGGGAAAGAATTTGACCTCCCACAGGAGGCTGGTGGCACTCACCTTTAATCCCAGTACTCAGGAGGCAGAGGCAGGTGGATCTCAACGCGTTCAAGGCCAGCCTGGTCTACAAAGCAAGTTCCAGGACAGCCAGGAATGTTACACAGAGAAACCCTGTCTCGAAATACAAAGACTTGAGTTGTCCTCTGGCCTGCATGCGTGTATTGTGATGCCTGGGCACACAGACCATACTTTAAAAAAGCTAGATGCTGGGCAGTGGTGGCACACACCTTTAATCCCAGCACTCGGGAGGTAGAGACAGGCAGATCTCTGTGAGTTCAAGACCAGTGTGGCCTACAAGAGCTAGTTCCAGGACAAAGAAATCCTGTCCGTTGTCTGGAGCGGATGGATGTGCAGCTTGTGCTAGTGGGAGTCCTAGGTTGCTAGCAGGTTGCTAGGTGTGCTGTTCAGAGAGGGATAAGGTTGCTAAGATCTACCCCATGCTTGACTTGCTCGGTTTCTAGTAGCTCAAGGCTTAGCCGATAGGATGATCATAACTACTTGTGAGCCTCACTGCTTTATTGGTTCTCGCTAGGTTTTGATTTGGTTTAAAGCTTTGGCTTCACCTTGTCCAAGTACATGTACGGGGCCTCCTATATATATTCTTGGGAGAGGCAGCGACCAGAATTCTGGTTGTCTGATCAGGTTGTTTGCTGCAGGCCTTGCATCAGTGCTCTTGGTCAGGTGTCAAGCATGCTCTAGAATGGCCGTGGGCCAGGCTGTCACCAAGACCATTTTGCTTTGTACCTAGTCCTTGGCCACCACATGATCTACAACACAGGACATTAGATGTCCTTGTCTCTCTCTCCACTTTATACTTTGAGCAGAGTCTCTCATTGAGGCAGAAGCTCTCTATTTGCTCTAGGCTGGCTGGCCATCGAGGTCTTGAGACCCTCCTGTCTACACCCCCCAAAGTTTCAGTTACAGGCATATACAACAACCATGCCTGGCTTTCTACGTACTTACATAGTGTTGGGATTTGAACTCAGGTCCCCATGCAAGTGCTCTCAACAGCTGCGCCAGCCTTCATCAATCCTAAAGGTATCTGAATACAAAGTATCACAAGTTGAATGCTTCAGACAAAGTTACATTCCTTCTCCCCCTCCATGTGTATCTGTCTTAGTTACTTTTCTACTGCCATAAAAATAAACAAAACAACAACAACAACAAAAAACCTGCCATGACCAAGGCAACTTAGAAAACATTTGGTTTGGAGCTCATGATTGCAGAGGGTTAGAATCCATGACCATGATGGCGTGGAGTAGTAGCTGAAATCTACGTCCTCATCCAAAAGTAGGTGGCAGAGCTGAGAATGGCGCTGAGTGTTCTGAATCTTGAAGCCCACCCCCCCGTGACACACCACCTCCAGCATGGCCACATCTCCTAATCCATCCCAATTCCACCAACTGGGGACCAAGTATTCAAGTGTATGAGTCCACGGGGCACCGTCACTCAACAGCATTCCACTCCCTGCCTCCCATAGACTGGTGGTCATATCACAGTGCAAAATGCATTTAACCCAAGTTCAAAAGCCCCCTATGGTCTTACACTGTTTAAAAAGTCCAAGTTCAGTTATGTGTCCCATTGCCCAGCCCCATGGCACTTCCTAAGCAGGGGGCTGAGTCAAGATGAAGCTGAATAGATCCTTCCCAGCCACCTGCTGTCAGAAAGTCACTGAAGGCCACAATGAACACATGCTTGCAAACTTCGTACTCTGTGAGAAGCTCACAGTCATAGGCATGGTTGGTGATGCTTTGGGTGAAGACTGGAAGGGTCGCGTGGTCCCAGTTTCAATCAGTGGTGGGAAGAACAAGGTTTTCCCACGAAGCAAGGTGTCTGCTGTTAAGGGGTGGAATTGTTCTAGATCAAGGAGAACTGGAGAAAGGAAGTCTATTCACACGACAGAGAAAGACACTGCAGAGGTTCCACCATCTTACATTCTTGCTGAGGCCATTTCAGGTTTAACTAGGATATGGTCTCCTTAATGGAGAATTCTGTGGAAAATTGCCCAACTCTATTTTAGGTCAAGATCCTCCAGCTAACTTAATTTCTGATAAACATCTTGCTTGCTCAAAACCTCTCCCTGCAACTAGATATAGTTTTTTTGCCTTTAAAAATCCCTTACCCTAAATCACTCGGGCTACACTTGAATCCCAAGTATTGGAGTGTAGACCAGCCTGTGATGAACCAGCCTGTCTCCATTTTTGGCTCAAAAGCCATCTTATAGTAAAGGCAAGCTAGGTTCATTTGATTACACCTCTTTCTCAAGGATTGTGCTATGCCCCACTTGTGACCTTAGCTACAAATGGTTCTCTACTGTCTGTTCCGGGAAATGGTCTTTGTTTCAAAAAGCTGTTTCTAATCCTCTTACCTTTGTTTCAGAAGGTTGTTATGACTACCTTGCTATGCCCACCTTGCAACCATGTCTTTATTTCAGGAGGACGTTATGACTAACTGGCTGTGCTTAGGTTCTGCTCCTATAACCCTGTCTATTTTGACTGTCAGCTTCCCCATATGGAAACTCCTGAGCCATAAAGTTTGTCTTCCTCACATCCAATGCTGACCTCTAGAACCCCACTTAA